CCCCCCTTGTACTGTTGTATCGGTTTTGGTCGTGACAAGCCAGTTTGACTCTCTTAAATTGGTACTTTCTCTTACAAAATCAACCGTAGCCGCTACTGCAGAGGAAGTCATGGAGCAGCGGCATGCGCGTTGGCACGCTCAGATATGTTTCTGGGGGCCGTTGTGGTTAATGCTGCACCGGCGGTCCGAAGAGTAACTCGGCATATCTGGGTCCATGCCTTTTACGTCGCTCACGATCCACTGCACAGACTGACACCCCAACTGCTGGTCGACAGCTGGATTGTTCGGATCGCAGCTGCAGTCTTCCACAGCAAGGCCATGATTATCTCTACATGGACTGCAGTTATTCTCGATGTTAGGACTCCGCAACGCCATATCCATGACGATAAAACGCCTGCTCGCTTGTTGTCTTGAACTTAGAAAAGAGTCGAGGGAATATTGCATAACAGGCTCCCCCACGAGAGTTATTAATAGGTGACTTGCCTCCCGGGGGCGACGCAGTAGGGGGAAAATAAGTGATCTATTGTTGGGGACAAGTCCTAAACGTTGCTCTGTGTTGCAACTAACGGGTTCCTTTCCGCCACACATCCCGACGGATCTTATATACGTGTCTCATGTGTGATTCGTGGGCGATCGGTACCGTGCATGAGTTGGTTTTCGAAAAATCCAAAATCAAGATTGCGCGATCGCGCCGCAAGAACAGCTTCTTTGGCTCACCTGCTGTGCGCGCCGGATCCATTTCATGTGATGCTACGACACTCATCTTCTCCCTCCCTTCGACCGCGTCGAGGTTCAGCTTCCCAATCACGTCTGCATCTTGAACGATGAGTCGGCCGCAGATGTCACCAGCCACACGCTGTGGTGCCCTTTGCGTAAGGGTCTATGGCTCTCGCGCTTGTCTCGTTCTCCGCGTTTTAATGATATCGATAATTAAGGGAGACCGAGCACACGTGACTACACTGCCGTAACGACGCAGCGGTCTTCGTCTATTAAAAGATAAAGCGTCGACAGGAGACACTGTGTGGTAGTGTAACAGCCGCAGAGCGAGCAGGGCAAGGGTCAGGCTGGAGCATGCGGAGTGGCATCCAGCAATCCAGCAGCTCGTTCTGGGGGGCACGAGGAGGACAACGACATATCGGCATGCCGGGGCGGGGGAGGGGGCATCGATTATGCGAATCTACCGATACGTCGGCAGTTACACCGCTTGGAACGGGATCGTTTCAGCGGTACGCTGTGTGCTGTGTGCACGTTTGCGCGTCATGTGGGGTTCTCCGCACGTTGTATGTCTGATGCACAGCCGTTCTCCACCCAGCTGAATGAGAGCCGGGCGTGTTTCGCCCGGTGAAAATGCCTGGTGTAACACGCGCCTACAAGATCCAGCTCAAGAACGAACCAACGAAATACAAGCTCGTACCTTGAAACTCAGGCAGGAGGACTACTGCTGTAACGATATATTGGCCTAGCTAGCCAAGAGTACCCCCTGGTCATCTAGTCCATGCAACAAGTGCAAAGTTCACACCGCTCACGGGAAAAGGTGGCACGGAACGCTGTAGGCGGTATCAAGTTTGTTTGTGGCTGCCCGTAAGGTGTTTCTATCGGCAAGTCTTGTGCGGAGATGATGCGGCATCAGCAATGTTTGTGTCAGATGCTCTGATCACGAGTTCTTGAGGCTGTCTTGCTGTTTATGGTGGTATTCGCGGGTCGTTATTACTGCTGCAAGGGTCGTTGTATGCCAGCTTCGCGAGGAATGAAACGCGAAGCATACATCGCTTATATTTGTCCCATGTATTCCAACGAGTGCCAGTTACTGCTGCTGCTATACATCTCACACAATGCGGTGTCTAGGCTTGGCGCATCAGCCGGGCCAGAGAGAAGGCCCTCTCCACGTTTACTCCTGTGGTGTTTGTCTAATTAACGCGAGGAGGGTTCCACCGTACACGAAGAAATGGATTTCCAATCTGAGGAATACGGTACTGACATCTGACGGGGATATGATACGATACGTGTCGTTCAAACAACCACGGGTGTTTTCACCGTCCGCCTAGAGGACTTCGGGGAACGAACGTAGCGGCATACCTGGCGGTGCGTTTTTCAGGCGTGAAAATGGACAGATCGTGGTATGATCTATACGACTTACATGTCTGGTAGGCAGCCCTTCCTTGTCCTCCCTTCTAAGCGCTGTGGTTGGTGCGATCTATGCTAACAAGATGAACAATATATATATTTTCCTAATAGATGCCCTGACTCGAACACGCGGCGAAACTCCTACTGCATCGGACTCGGGCCGGATCACTCGCGACATTAGATCTACGGGAGATACTTTCTCTCCCTCCTCCTCTCTCTCTCGCTTTCTCTCCCACAGATATTCCCTGGTCATCCACCCCTACTACAACGACAGCAGTAGCCAAGACACAAAGCGCACCGCATACATCGCCCACGAACGACCTCGACGCGCACAGTACATCCTTCACCTCCCGCGGGACTACGAGCGCAGGTCGACCCCGACGGTGTGTTGGCTATATCTTCTCGGGTTATTAGAGGAGGACTCAAGGTCTATCAGTTCGTTGCACACAACAGGAGGAAAAGGGTGTTAATTTGCCGCTATTGCTGCAGCACCGCACCATTCATGGCACTTAGAAGCATGACTTCCCCACAGGCCGGCCAGAGGAGGTCTCCTGATCCCGCTTTCACCACCCCTCGCCCCGCCTCTGAGCTCACCCCTTGGCAAGGACAGCGACCCCTTTGCGGTGTATGAGAACTGCCCAGGGGCGAAGGAGCTTGCACCGTGGCTTGACGCGATCATCGGTGTCAACTCTAGCAGCAGAAGCACTCGAAGCGCCGCTCCAGGCCCTGCCATCAATGCGACGCCGGCGAGCTGCAGGAGGTGAGCCCCCGCTAGCGATACATGAGTGCACGCCATGTTCTGACAGTTGCCCTCTCATTCCAAGTCAGCTTATGGTACGGCCAATTTTTCTTGTTGTAGACTATCATGTGGTAGTATCCTCGAGGGCAGCGAAAAACACAGCGGCTGCGCGCCGGAACAGGGCGGAGTGGGAGCAACCTTCCGAGGTTATACAGGACGCGGTGGTAATGTCGACCCCGTCGTGAATCTGGTCCCGTGTGCAAATTCCCGTCGTCTCGCCCATTGTTTACTCTTCTTTTTCTTTGCTCTCTCGGCCTAATTCGAAACCATCGCGTCTTCCCATCTGTCTACAGTCACCTTCTCCCCCCTACGTTACCACTGCTTCTACTGCTGTTGCTGCTGCTGCTGCTGCTACTGCTGTGAATGTGCACAGCAGAAAATGCTATGAAAGTACACAGCAGAAGAAGCTGCTGCGAATGCACGCAGCAGAAGCCACACAAACGTTTCAAGTCACGCAGCACACATGCAAACCCTAACGAAAGAGCAAGTTCATCCAACAGACGCCCCCTCTCCAAGATGTACCAGAGAGCAAAAGAAGAAGGAGTGGAGGCTGAAAATACCTCACCAGACCCTGGTAGACCGTGATAATCGGTTGCTGTTGTTCTTCTGATGTAGGTCTCGCATATCTATCTTCCTCTCCTTGTTAAAGACTATGCTTTCTTCGTTTTGGGGGGAGAAGAGTTCACGATGGACAGACTGACCTCCGTTTGCATTTGGAAACAGCAAAGACAATGTTTGATACTTACTTTCATGGTGGTAGACTGACATTTTTCTCCCGAGGCATTTATTGTTTTTAGCACACAAGCATCATGTCTTCTTACAGTCCACTTCATGCACCGTTTCATTTGGTTGGGCAAAGATGGATGCGGTGTGCATCGAAAGGTGCAAGGATTCGGACTGTTGGGACGAGGCACTAATGATAGTACCATGTAGAAACTATCGGAGGGTGGTAGTAAACAAACCCGTTGTCTTTTGTACCATACCACGGGAAGTACCAAGCCTATTTCTGCCTGCATGAATTTGGATAGCCCCGTACAATGCCGTGCGTAGCACTGAAGCCAGAAAGTATCATCAACCAAAATAACTGACGTTTTCTCGCGCCCCCGCTACGAATACTGGGCAGGGTGTCGGCCGACGCTTGGACCAGCTTTGAGAGAGCGGACCCGGCGAGAGATGCCAATCCGTGGGGTACTTCACTGGTGATCTCGAGGGCCCGAACCTCCAGACGATGTAGAGGGTTGTTACACGAGTCAACCCAAGTTTATTTTACTGCAATAGCATAAAGCTGCAGTCCTGCAGACCTGTACCGGCCGTTATTGTTTCCTTGGTTTTTCGTTCACGAACAAGGAATGTGTTGGCCGTTACCAAACACTCAGCAGGAATCGGGGGAAACATCGAGCAACTGAGAGAAACTCACAACGCGTGGTGTTCTAAGCAAGTAGTGAAGAATTGCCTGATTCTTGTGTCCTGTTTCTTGGTCAAGCGCAGTTGAACGGACGCTTCAACGCTGAACTCCGTCACCTTGAATGGGGTCATTTGACAATTGTACAGCGTGGCTCTGCATTCAAACCTTTGGAATGGCTCGTTGGTATCCGTCAACACAAATACACCGAAACCCTGCCCTTCTTCAGCTGACACCTGACCGCCCTGGTTCGTGTACCAACGTCACATATTCCTTTTCTGGAGGTGATGTTTGTCTAAATCTGTTCGCGTCCACTCTCTTCTATCCTGCCCACTCTCCCCCCTCTGAACGTTTTTTATCCCAGGCCACGGGCCTCGGTTTGTTCGCCTTAGATCCTGTTCTCGTGGAGGCGCGGGAAACACTGCAGCCGGAGCGCGTCAACTTCGTTCAGCCATCACCCGAACAACCCCGACGCGCGCCGACCCCTCCGGCCCGCCCACCTGCTGTGGAACCCCTTCAAGGGGCCATTGCCCTCTTAACCGAAGAGGCCGACAGCATGCTGGGGTTCACGTTTTTGAAGCAGGAGCGACAATCCGACAACGTCCGCATGGGCTTTCACATACTGAGGGGACGCCAGCCCCAGCTCTTCAGTACGTTCACGTCGGGCATAATCGACATGGCCACCAGTCTAACTGCTGGTGCCAGTATTGTCCCTTCGCACCCTGTGGCCGCCGACACCGTAGCCCTCGCCATCATCAAGTTGGCAAGGTTTGTGGCGAGCACTGCAGAGGAGGGGATAGCGGATGGCGCCCGCGATCTGCTCGCCCTGGTGTGCCTGCTCATGGCCCAAACGTTAGAGGCTAATGGGTCGGACAGTTCGGACAGTCTCCTCGCTGCGATGCTGGCTGTGAGCAAGGTGTGGGGTCCCGACCACACGGCAACGAAAAGCGCGCTGCCAAGCTTAAGGTCAAGCTTAAGGACAAGGTGTGCGCCAGCCTCAAGTGGGCGCTGTACGCCGTGACGCCTACGACGTTTGGTCACCTGTTCCTTGCCCGTGCGTTGTCGGAGGGCGCTCTCACCGGAGGGCATTCTGAAGTCAGGGAGCTCACGACGGTAACGTCGCTCAGATGGGTGTAGCTTGGTTACCTGTCGGAGTTCAAGCCGTCGGAGTTGGCTGCCGTCGGAGTTGGCTGCCGTCGGAGTTGGCTGCCGTCGGAGTTGGCTGCCGCCGCCATCTTCTGCGCCGTGCTCCGTGAATTCGATTTTCAAGCAGCTCGACAGGTGACCGAAGTTGCAAGGAGTGGTGTTGTCGACTTGGAAAGCTCGAGGTTCTGGGTGGTGTATCGCGAGGAAGACAGCCACAACGTAGAGGGACTGACGCAGGGCAGCGGTACATCGATGAAGCCGCCGATAAGGCTAAGGGAGGCGGAGCGGCATACGGTTGCAACGGCTCTGACACCGAGGGTCCCACGCCGCCGTCTACAAGAGAGCCGGGAGAGGCTCATGAGGGGTTCTTTGCAGATGACCAGCTGGTAAATCTCGCTTGCTTGGAAGTTGGTAGGCTTTGCAACGATGTCTCTTCCTCGCCCCAACCAGTATTCGCCCCACAGGATGAACTGTTTCGGTGTTGTCGGGGTCCCTGTTCGTCGACTGATTTCCCATTTCCCGTCCTCTTCTCTTTCCTCCCTTCAATGACATGACTACACCAGGTCAGCCGGTCCGTCTCCAGGAGCGGAAACACCTCGTCGTCCGACCGACAAGATAAAGATAAGCCAGAGAACGGTTCCGGGAAAAGCACAACGTCCTCGATCCGCAGCATCATCGGGGAACGGACTCCGTGTACGACTGGTCGGATGACGGCACCGTCCCGCGAGTTCGCCAGGGCTTCGCGCTTCTCTCCGATGTTGTTGGATGACCGCTACACCACGGCAATGAGCGCCGGTGCCTTGCCCTCTCCTTCCGAGCACACTCTCGGGGTCTTGGGCCACGCTCGCGGTAACGACGTCGATACCTCAGTAGTCACGCCACCCAGCGCGTCCTTCGCCACCTTTACTAACGGAAACACCCAACCGGCGGCAGCGTGTGTATCACCATCTCATGGGCAAGAAGAATCTGACCCACCGGGAGAAACGGCCAGAATGACATGGGCACGCCACCCAGCGCGGGCTTCGCCACCTTTATTTACAACAGGAAGCACCCAGCCGGCGGCAGCGCGTATATCACCATCTCATGGGCAAGCAGAACCTGACCCACCGGGAGCAACGGCCAGAATGACATGGGTGGGACTCGATGAAGGCCCCCTCGAGATCATCGGTGGCGATGATGGCGGTAGCGATGACATTTCGGACGACAATGATGCCCTCCGTCTGCCTCAGGTGGATGTGATGCCCCGAAACAACAGCATCAACGAGGTTGCGGAGTGGGGTGTTGGTGTAGAAATGACGATGGAAGAAGCGGGAGAGTTGTTGCTGCAACAGAGACCTCACCTGGTACCGGCACCGGCGATGGTCGATGGCGGACATATTCACCTTGCGCCCGGCCTTTCTCACGTGGAGCCCCGCGATGGTGACATCGAGATGAGGTGGGAGCGCGCCGCCATGCGAAGGCTGGATGACGGCGTCAAGGCGTTCCAGCGGCAAGAAAAAAAGCAGGGCGTTGCACCGCTGGTTTTCTGCGGGGGAGGTGGTGTGCTTCTGCCCGCGGTCCCACCCGCGGAGGTCGACGCACGCACAAGCCCCCCTGCTGTCGACAGCAACAGCACCGATGATACTATCGAGTGGGAGCATGAGGTCGAACCCCAACTTGAGGAAGCCGGTAAGCTCTTGCGGCAGCAGAACCTTCGCCTAGTGACGGCGGTAGCCGTGGGCAGCTGCACACTTCTGCGGCCGGGGAACGTATACCCGCCGCTTTTCCACGCCAACGGCAACCAGGATGATGCCACGGCTTCGCAGCACACCACCGCCATCGCCTTGCTCGGGCCGGATGTGTTCGCGGGCGCGTTCCAGTCCTAGCAAGGGGCGCGAAGGTCTTCCACGTTGCTGACGTGGTGTCCCCGTTTCGCTGTTCGCGGACATAGCGCGATTATGTTGTTCTCTCTGCTTCGCTGAGGTTTCAACGAGACATGGGCGGCTGGCTCGTGTCGATTGCGCATTATTATTTCGCAGAGAGGGCCGATATTCTCTCGTCTACAAGTATGTGTGTATATAGTATAGACCATGTACCATGTCCTTTGTTCCTTCACGGTTGGTCCGTCTCAGATCCGCGTCTGGTTCAAAGGGTTCGTTTCACCCGCAGTTCGGATCCCGGGTTGATTGTCTCAAGCATCCATCCATGCCATGTGAAGAATCCATGAGAAGAGTAGACTAGACTAGTAGTCTAGTATTGTTCGTTCTTGGGATTCCTTGACACAGGGCCATTCGTTCTTATTCATGGTGTTCTCTCTAGCTTTTTTTCTTACCAAGAGGGCGTCCCACGTAGACTACTCTTCAGTTGCCCCCCTCTCAGGCGACCAGCTCTCCTGGTGTGTGTATCTTTGTCGCTCCGTTAGAACCAGCCTCATGCATTATAATACCCATTTATGTGTAGTTTTGTGTGTCGTCACATATTTTTTTCTCCTTGACGAGCTTTTCACACCGTTTGGTGTGTCTTCTGGCCACACTCATCGGTCTGGGTCACATAGAGGACACCCACTATTTTTGTTTCGATCTCCCCTTTGCGGGTGAAACCAATCAAAAAACACTCGCAGAGGAAACCCGCCAAGTACGCTATGCAGTGTTTTTTTTTCTCCACCTTCCTTATGCTGTAGTTGCGACAATTTTGTCGCAAGGTTCGGCCGTACTTTTTTCTTTCCCTCATCGATCGTGAAGTTGTGTACGCGCCAAAAAATAGTGCAGCACAAGAAAGAGCGGTCGAAAGCAGCGAGCTCAACATAACGATGCCGACTGGTCCGAAAACAATCGAAATGAATTCGTCGAAAAGGGCCAGCGTTTTGACCTTCGAAAAATATAGCAACCACGACTTTGTCCTCGGGCATACACTGCAGTTTGTTGGTTGAACCGCTAAATAAAGCCGTCACCACAAAGCATTCGCCACACAGCAGTTCTTCCGTTCGAGTATTTTTCCCGGTTGTTCTTATTTTGGTACACGGCTGGCTAGCAAAACAGGATACACGAGTGCCAGACTCGGATGTCAGTAGCAGCCTTCGGATATTTTGCCTTGACCTGGCCATCATGACGGGAGGAATCGCGGGCACACACCAGCAAGGTTCATCGTCTAATTCATGCATAACACCCCAGGCCCTCACTGTACGAGGAAGTGGGCGTGCTTCTTCGCCTGTGATTGGCCGGCGAGCAGCACACACATGAACTTGGGGGAAATGTACCCCGAGACCGTGATTGACCGAATATGATGACGTTTGCCGCCGTACGGCCGCTCATGTCGGGGTACAATACATAAAATACTTCTCCGGAGAAAACTGCGAACAGATGGTGTTGAAAAATTGGTCAAAGTTTTGATTGATTTTGATTTTGATCAGAGACACCACATATATGATACGCTGAACAAACGTGAGCCATCTTCGCCTCCCCATCACCGGCTCACCACCCTTTGTCGCCTTTACCGCTCACTTATTTGTTCACCCAGACACAACCCGGCCCCCCTCTCACAAGGAACACAAAAATAACAAACAACGACGACCAGGACAAGCGTGCTGTGGTACCACCACCAGTTTAGCTGCATCTTGTGTGCTATCTATACGCATGCCCCGTTTACGCTGGTCGTTGCTTGTCTCGTCTCGCTTGCCACACCGAATCACGCCCCCCTCCGCAAAGTGCACCGACATCGAACCAAGGTACTGCCGATGGGCTGGTCGCAAAGCAAGCCGCAATCCATGATCTCAATCCACACCAACAGCCCCTTCAGCTTACTCTACAGAAAACACCATCGATGGCCAAAAACGACACCGACGTTTTGCACAAGATAGACCGGCTGGACCAAACTCGTCTCCCTCTCTGCTCTATTGTCTCCCTTCATGACTCGTCGCTCTTTTGCTCGCAGACACCAAACCATCATTATCCGTCTGTGAAAACGCACAATATCAAAGTAAACCATTTCCTGCGACACCCCCTCCCGTCCCCCTTTACCCACCGGGCGCCTTCGCAACCACCCGCGCATGGGACAAAACATCGCCTCTCAACATCATGAACACAAAAACCTTCCACATGTAAAAACATGCATCCGTGCCTAAAACTACCGTGCACGCTGCCTGAAAATCATACCGCAAAAAGCGAAATCCAGTGTGTGTTTTGAAGAAACCCATCTTAGCGCGAATGCGACAAGTTGAGTTGTGTCGTGTTTCGCGTTCCCCACAAATCCGTCACGACGACTGTGTTCCACTCTCATCTGCTCACTTGTGCGAAACGAACACGCTACAACGCGCGGTGCAACTGCGGTGGTTGGCCAGTCTGGCACCACCCACCCCCGCGTCGCTCCCATATGCGTTACCCCTCAAACACACACCGAAAACCCTATCGAGGCCACACGCCCCCACCTCAAGCTCGCACACTTTTCCCGACCAGCGCACACTCAACTCTGCGCAACCATCAACACAGTTCTCCACGCCCTCCCCAGCGGGCAGAACAGGTCTCTTATCGCACCAAGAGCGAATCGACGTACCCCC